CCCTCACCCTGTGCTGTGAAACTATTTCGATTATGTATTGTGTAGGTTTAGGTTTTAAAAGATTAGCCGGTTATACAGTGACGTCATCAGGATGATAGTATGAATTGAGGACAGTAAGCCTCAGACTTAAGTCCAGTCTTAACGACAACATGTACCGGTACCTAACGAACAAACGTTTACTGATGCTTTTGGCGTTGTTTGTTTTTATCAGCACTACATTTGATCTAGTCAGTGCTCTAAGTCCGCCTTGTACATCAGTAGGTAAGTAACGGGTGTAGAGTATGTTCTAAGTAGTAGGGGAATGGATTGTCAAGAAAGATTGTCAACTCAATAATTTCTAATGACTTTTTTATATATAACCTGTGGTCCATACTATGGATAACGATGTATTTATATTGATGCTGTAAAATGAAAAGAAGAAAACACTTAACGAAAACACTTAACAAGGAGTTAAACAAAAGAGGACAGCTAGCCCTGCAATAGATTTGTTCAAGTATTTAAATGGAAAATTCACTGAAATTTTAGGAAGATTGACTTAAGTCATGTCATTTTATTTGTCAATGTTGTAATAGTCATACTTTATGTTTTCTACTGCATTGGAGTCTGTCTGCATTAGGTGAAGAAATCTAAGATTGAAAAATGAATACCTCAGTAAAATATGGTATCGTCCATTGTACATTGATTACAACCTGAAGTCTACTTTTCCGGTTTGTTTCCGCTTGTCGGAACCAATTCATGACATTGTTAATAGGTGGTGGCTCGTTTTGGTATTTTGGTTTATTTATTTGTTTTAAAATGAAAAGAACAAAATATTTATAACAATTATTACGATAACTAGTTTATGTATGAAATGTATCGTCGCCATCGTCATCAGCATTGATCTTCATCACAATCATCATAACCGGTATCTTCATCATAATCAACATTATAATCATCGTCATCATCATTTTTATTATTGTTTTGGTATATCATTACTAAAAAATATATGATATGAGTGTTTTAATTTTTTCTTTTAATTTTCAGGATTATGTCCATTGCCAAGTGGTCTAACAGGAAGCGGGTTGGAAAATGGTGTTGTAAATCCATGGCCGCCGGCCAAGGACACTGGCACGTCAGAACCGTGTCTTCCTTTTGGAAAGGATAAGATAAGTTTTAAATGCGATGATGGATTTCGTTTGCAGACAAGCAAAATAGAATTATTTTGTGACCTGCTTTCTGATTGGAACCTAGATGCGCCAACTTGTGTTGAAAATGTCCCAGCCGCAGGCCTGTCCTCTGCAACAGAGGCACAGCTACCACCATGTGCCAAGTGTTCAGGTAAGTAGATTTGAAAATTGAGGGCGCATGCACACTACTTAAACCAGAGCCGTAGATAGAGAGAGTTTGGCCAACTTGGCGCATGGGCGCCATGTTGTCACCAAACAG